CATTTTGTGAATGTGGTTTTATTTACAAGACCGTGTGTTTATAAGCTCTATCTGTTATATACTGTTTGTTTAATGTATGGTTTCTCCCTAATCATTTTTCTTTTTCAATATCAGGGTGGTTTTAAGGTTCATGTACAACTATATCCTTGTCATCACACGGTGCTTTTCAGGTCTTTGATGTTAAATATGTCTGTTAATTGGTTGAACTCTTCTAATGATTAGTAATAAGAATGGTTTCGCATTGTACATATATATAGACCCTCAAGTTTACTAAATGTCATTGTGCTTGATAACGATAAGAGAATACTTATCGAAACGTCGTGCTTGTGTATAATAAACCAGTGATTGTTGTCCCATATAACTGTATAGTTTTGTTATGTTTCCAATTGCTAAATACCACTAAAGGATTATATATAAACTGATTTACATTCAATCGTTTCTGGTTTTACTGTAATTTCTAATGAGTTATGTTCGGCGAAATGCGCCAAAGTCTCAATTAAATGACAATCTTTAGCGTCTGGTTATTCTAGTCTACACCGATGATATTTATTGCGCATGCTCTCCAGATAAGAATATAGCGTCACCCTTTGACATGACTTGTGGAGTATGTCTAGCCTCGTTTTTTGAGTCCCTTGTTCCAAATGGCGCTGAAACGCATTATGGTACACGATTCGTGTACCAATGGTAAAATGTTTATTTTGTCTTGAATATTGGATATCAGAAGCCCATCTTTTCCCTGTAAGATCACAAGACCAATGTTGATTTGAATTGACAAATAATTCATGTTTTCAATGTCGAAGATTCTTGATAATATTGGGTTAGAGACTAAGCTACTTTAATAATGAGTAATTGCTCCACCAATTCTCAGACATTCGGCAATTCGTCGTGGCATGCTCCTAATCAACCGTCCAATCACGATTTAGGGCAATCTGGCCGGCTCCTCTTGCAGTGCACGGTCAATTCTTGCAGTGTTGTCGGTTGACATTGACGTCCACGAACACGTCTCAAGATCATGTCCCAGACATTCTCTATAGGGGAAAGGTCAGGACTCATGGCTGGCCAAGGCATATGGACAATATGGTGATACTGGAGGTAGTCATTCACGACACGAGCGCGGTGGGCACGAGCATTATCATCTTGAATCATAAAACGTCGACCTGCCCGTTCAGCAAAGGGCAGAACTATCGGTAGTACACACCAGTGACCCGTCCTTGAACAATATGCAAGTCCGTTCTGCCAGTCATGTTGATTCCTCCCTACACCATAACAGACCCACGCCCGAAACTGTCATGTTGTCTGACGTTAACGTTAACATGACGCTCATTTACACGCCTCCAAACGCGAGCACGCCTATCGGTGAAATCCAGAGTAAATCTGGACTCATCTAAGAACATTACACGCGCCCATCACCATTGACGCCTGTTTGCCATGTGCTGGCGAGTTAATGGAGGCACATCACGCGGTCGTCGCGCATCCAAATGGGCTGCATGTAGCCTAGTCTCTATCATCCAGAAAAATCCTCCGTATGTTGAAGACTAGGAGGTTCTACATGTAGCCGATATCTAATCGTTTGGGGTGTGAAATCCTGTAAGTTTACAGATAGCTGATTGGCCGTTTGTCCTCCATTTCGCAGGATCTTGGGCTGGGCTTGTGTAGTGGCCCTAGGACGACCTGAACGAGGTCTATCATCAGCATTGTATATAGTAACCATTGGCTATACGTACTGAAAAGCTTTCTCGCCAATCTTATGTGCACTTTAACCTTGGAACCGCGGTGGCTCAGGGAGAGAGAGAGAGAGAGAGAGAGAGAGAGAGAGACCCACTAGGTTGGACAGGCAATCTTACTCCTTGCCGCGTACAACCGGGGAATCGAAACCACGCTAACCATTCGCAGGAGGTGGTGCAGGAATAACGTCTAGTCGTTCGGATGGGACACAACTGTGTGTACACAATGGCGTGCATGTAAAAGATCCTTTGAGAGTTAGAATTCGATACAAGAGTAGGTCGTAGTGCCACTGTATGGAGTATGTCCGCCTTCGTTATCCCAGTTGGAGCGGAACAGTGGGACGTTAAACTCCATTTCATTGTCTGTCGCTATTGGGTTACTGTGGTGAAATTTAATTGTGGTCTGCCCTATCATTTTATATGGAGTTGTTTCCCTTGTGTTTTTTGTTTATTGGCAATCGGCACGCATTTCAAGAATTTCGACATCAAGTGACATTCAAGTCTCCTTAAAAATTCGCATACAGTGCCGGGTAAACCACGGGGCATGGTGGGACAAAGGCCCCCGACATCAGGGACCCCCCCCCCCCAAAAAAAAACAAAAAAACAAGCCAACAGTGAGGCTGATGTCCCCCGCCGAAATAGGAAAATAATTAGAGGACACATATAAATTTATCACAAATAAGCGGAACGGACAGACAGACAAACAGACAGACGGACGAACCCATTTTAATAGTTCCCTGCTTTCTTCGAAAGGCGGGGGGACAATCAAAGTAGGAGAGTTATTGTTTTCCAAAGTCTCATTATCAAACTTAGTCAAGGTATTACTGTAATGAAACTATACACCAAGTTTCATCAATCTCACTTAATTAGAACTAAAGTTATCGTGTCCCAAAGCATCAACCAATCAAATTGCTTATCTCTGCTTACCCTAAGCGGAAAATGCTCATCTTCGAACTCCATCAAGGCATTGACCTAATCAACACATACACCAAGTTTGAACATTCTAGCTCAATTAGGAAGAGAGTTATTGTGTCCCAAAAAGTGTGACGGACAGACAGACAGACAGACAGACAGACCAAGTTTGAACATTCTAGCTCAATTAAAAGTTATCGTGTCCCAAAGCATCAACCAATCAAATTGCTTATCTCTGCTTACCCTAAGCGGAAAATGCTCATCTTCGAACTCCATCAATTAGGAAGAGAGTTATTGTGTCCCAAAAAGTGTGACGGACAGACAGACGGACAGACAGACAGACCAAGTTTGAACATTCTAGCTCAATTAAAAGTTATCGTGTCCCAAAGCATCAGCCAATCAAATTGCTTATCTCTGCTTACCCTAAGCGGAAAATGCTCATCTTCGAACTCCATCAAGGCATTGACCTAATCAACACATACACCAAGTTTGAACATTCTAGCCCAATTAGGAAGAGAGTTATCGTGTCCCAAAGCATCAACCAATCAAATTGCTTATCTCTGCTTACCCTAAGCGGAAAATGCTCATCTTCGAACTCCATCAAGGCATTGACCTAATAAACACATACACCAAGTTTGAACATTCTAGCTCAATTAGGAAGAGAGTTATTGTGTCCCAAAAAGTGTGACGGACAGACAGACGGACGAACCCATTTTAATAGTCCCCTGCTTTCTTCGAAAGGCGGGGGACAAAAAAAAACTCAGTTGCGCGAAAGGCGAAGTGAGCATGATGATCGGACCGAGGTCTGCATCTACTAGACTAACTACAGTATTAGTGGCAGTGGCCCTCCATAGGATTTTCAAAGTCCTAGACATTGGGGCCGTTCAATCCAAAATGGGCCCGTGTTGCGGTTGCCATATTCTGAGAATTCGATGCAATCCGGCGATGCTGCGTCGTACTTTCGACTTCTATACATCCGGTTTTTTTTTTGGGGGGGGGGGGGTATTTAGCGGGAAAGTGGCGGACTAGCGAATATTCACTGCTGATCAGTGTGGGAAAGTGTATCAAGAAATCGCATTAAAATTTTTAGCGGCAATATTTTGGTTACAACTTGTCCTACTCCGAACGTACTTTCTTCTTGTTGCCGTTGAATCGAAGAACGTTGGCTTTTGGACTCTTTATTCTTCGCCATTTAGTCCATAGACTATCATTGTTTGATAATTTGGTGTGCATATATATATGTATAGTTTCTGTATAGACTACGCTACTTACGATATTTCGCGTCTTTGTTCCAGCAAAACGCATTTAAATTTGGGTCAGGCTAGGATGACGATTTTTGCGGGATTGTAAGCGTTATGACCCTTTTATGCGAGTGGGAGGGGATGTTATGTATAATAATTATTCATCAGCCGTGACTTAGGTGTTTGATTGGGGATCATCGCATAGAACTAAAGGAATGGCGGCGGAAGGTGACTTCTTATTTGGCCCTTATTCGGATTATCAGCCGTAACTTAGATTTGTCCCCTGCAGATAGTGATTCGCCTACCGGTGGGGATCATCGCATAGAACTGGCGGCGAGTGATAACTTCATATTTGGCCCACAATCTGTTGTTGAATCAATCTTCATGAAATGAACTAGGTTTGATATAGTTACATTCATGTGTGGAATAAAAATGCCTACGTTCTGGTCACTTGTGTTAGGTTGCCCCCCCCCCCCCACATGCTCAAGGCCCCAGGGTCACGTTCGTGGTTAATCCGGCCCTTTTCACATATGTCAACTCTGCATCAAGAACCAATTCTTCGTAATAGTTCATATCTGTATAATCCGATAAGAAAATTCTTAGAATTGATGATTTGGAGAGTCTCAAAATAGGTTTAAAAAAATGACAAAAACCTGAGCATTATAAAGGGTAAACAGTAGTTTTAACATTTTTAAAATGTTTTAACTGATAACCTAGTTTTTTTTAGAGAAGGGTCATCAGAAATCATGGGTTCATCTCATTCTATTATTAATCTTGACTGCTAGGTAAACAGGGTTGGAGAAATAGTCACTGATGGGCCTAAATTAGAAAAGATATTCTGAAATTATAAATCACTAGCTTCTAAAGACAGCACCCATAAATGTCACTTGCATTTTCACATTTGGTAATAAATACAGTTTATCGATAATCTAAACATAGTTACAAGAACTATTCACTTTGTATGGGTTTTGTATGGAAAATAGGAAAAGAACTCCACAGGACTACAATTACCTTTTTCCCAAGATATGCACTAATTTAGGCTATTAAGATTTTTGAAAAACGTCACCATCACAATATGTAACAAATTTTCAAAAACTTAAAATACAAAAATATTAAGTCACAATTCAAATCTTTATAGAATACTTTATTTTATTTACACAATTCCACCCAAGTGAAATTTGAATGCAAATAGGAGAAGATTATGTTTTAACCATAGACAGATGGACAGGGACGAATTAGTAACAAAAAGATATCTGTCCTGATGTCATAATAACACACAATGAACACAAGGACATCACAATAAGAGAAAGTGCACACATGTACAAAACAAGTTAAGTAGTGGACATGAAGGCCAACAAACAAAGAGTTTACTATGCACAAAATCACATGAATTGAAATCACTTTTCACATCATCCATTCCTTTCATCTGTAGGCATCCAGTTGGCATGCCTATATTTTGGTATAGACATAACAATGTATATATATACAGTATATATAATTCTAATATACATTCTTTTGGTGCCTTTCAAGTCTGTTAAAGGTAGCATTTCACATCACAGCTACATCAAATTCCATGTTAACAATACGAGATGAATAAATATCCTTAAATTAGCTGCACAGTACTGGTTCAGAACAATGAGCACACAATGGATGTCGATGGATTGTTAGTGATTTTACTCTGGAAGCCATAGTTGACCGGAGAGTTGGCCACCATTATAAAAACTTATTATCTACAACTAGTCACAGTAGGGTTTAAAAAATAATAATAATAATAATTAGAACTACAACACATACTAGAGTGAAAAAATAACACAGAAGAGACTCGTCAACATTTACTATACAATAGCTCTGCTGTGTACAATTTCAACAGTGTTCATATGTCCATGGTCAATTGAAAATGTTCGAATAACTCAACTGCCAACTTGCATTGTAGCTAGCAGATTATATAAAATCTTATATAATAAAACATTTATCCCATTATATAAATTCACAATTTGTTCTGAAAAAATGGAAAAAAACCATGACAAAATACGATGATGATCAATCTCTATAATATGTCTATTTTACATAAGTTAATTTGCATGTATTTATATATATTTACATATAACAAGATAATAATATAACGCACCATTAAATTAAGTCTGTACTATAAGGAGTCAACATAATGTGATAATTTATCTTGAGGAGTCATTTGAGGAATTTTATTATCGGGGGCAGGACTTCGTAACTGGGACATGTTTGGATGGGGTTGCATGTTTGGGTGCTGGCCTTGTAACTGGGGTAGCATGACTTGATCTGTAATTTGATTTGGATCACCCAAAGGATGAGCTCCCACAGGATGGGGCGACTGATTGGGAGGTATGTGGTGGGGTGACTGCTGAAGTTGACGTGGTGAAGGTGCTAAATGTTGCCGAGGTGATGGTGTAGGTTGTGGAGATCTAACAGTTTGTGGTAGAGCCACATTGCCCTGGGGAGAGGGAGACATCATATTATCATTCTGTCTTAACTGCACTTGATGCACTGATGTCTGTGGTGACCTAACCTGCTGCATAATTTGTTGAGAAGGGTTAGCCTGTTGAGCCATCATCTGTTGTGGGCTATGAGGTTTTCCACCGGACATGACGTGTTGTTTCAGCTGTACTGATGTTTGGGGTGAACGCATCTGCTGCATAAGTTGTTGAGTAGGATTATTCTGTTGTGCCATCAGATGCTGTGGACTCATTGGTTTACCACCAGCCAGATGTTGTTTAAATTGGGGATGTTGCATCATTTGTTGCTGCTGAAACATGTGTTGAGAATTATCATTTGGGAAGCCCTGGCCTGGAAATCCCATTCTGGGCCGTTGACCTGCAAAACTCTGCATTGGGTTTTGGTTTGGAAAGTGATTCATCGGATGTTGCTGTGGATGCTGTGGATGCTGTGGATGCTGCTGCTGATGCTGCTGTTGTTGTTGTTGATGTTGTTGCAGATTTTGCCTTCTCATTTGCAACATCTGGTGCACTTGTGGATTAGACAACTGCTGCATCTGTTGAACCCCCATACCTCCCATCTGTTGTTGCTGCTGTTGTTGTTGTTGTTGCTGTTGCTGTTGTTGTTGCATCTGCTGGTTCTTTAGGTTTCTCATTTTGAGAACAGAGGCCATGAGTTCAGGACTATCTTTCAACATGTCCAACACCTTTGTTTGGGGTGTCTGATTTTTCAAGGCAGCCATCAACTGCTGAAGAGATGCTTTTCTTGGAGCATTCATAGTCATACCACCTGGTCCTGGCTGTTGCTGTTGGGTGGGTGACGGCATTGGCATTCTGATCTGGTTCACAGGCATTCGTGGTTGATTAATTGATTGGTTTGGATAAGCTGGTGGTGCAGCATGACCCCATTGTGGTCTTTGAACTGGCTGTTGCATGGGATTGGGCATTTGATTGATAACCGGACTAGGAACCATTTTCTGTGCTTGTTGTTGTTGTTGCTGTTGTTGTTGTTGCTGCTGCTGCTGCTGTTGTTGTTGCTGCTGCTGCTGCTGTTGCTGCTGTTGTTGTTGTTGTTGTTGTAAACTGCCTGGTTTACCACCCATGTTAATTTGTCCAGCAAGCAGGTTTCGTTGGGCATTAGCAGCATCCTGGGCTTCTTGTGCAGCTTTCATAGCACCGGCTGGAGGAGCAGCCTGAGGTTTACCATCATTAACCATATTAAGTTGCTGTGGTGGTGCTTGTATGGCTGGTGTAGAATTAGCTTGTAGAGCTGCAGCTTGTCCCCCGGTTGACGATGCTGTCATGATGGCCATTCTTCTTCGCAGTAACTGAGCCTGCTGTAGTCTCTGTTGTAATTGTTGATGACGTAATTTATGTTTTAATTGTGTACAGAATGGAACTTGACACTTTTGTTCATTACAATGTTTTGCATGGTAGCAACATAAAGCTATTAATTGTTTACAGATAGGACAACCACCATTACTCTTCTTCCGACAACTTTTTGTATGAGCAACAACACGTTTCATTTTTTGGCAACTATGAAGTCTACAATTAGCGTCCCTGCACTGACATGCATGCACCAAAGACTGAATACACCTTTGAATAGATTGACGACGAGATTCCTGAGGATTTTCTTGTTTTTCTCCATTGTATGAGCCGTCATCCAAATCAAAACCAAGTCGATCCATTTTGTGTGGATGACTAGATTTCTTATAACATGTGATACACAGGTCAAAGTCCTGAAAAAGAAAAGAAGGTAAATAAATTGAGTGTTTTTGAAATATTGTAAGATTTCAATTTGTTGCAGGGTCAACACTGGGTACAACCAAAAATTTGCACAAGTACATAAATCATGACAAGCAGTAAAATGAGTTCTTGTATCTCCTTCACCAGGCAACGAAACATACGCCCACAGCAGCTAAATCGTCCGAGCAGTCATGAAGTGTTAACTGACACGAATTTATGCTTTTGTAGGTAATAAGAGCATTTACGAGACGCCGATATCAATTTCATAGACCGAATGTTCACAAGGTTCAACAAAGTGAAACAAGGCCATAACTGTAGAAGTTATTAAGAGAATTCAATAGGATTGTTCGTTTTACTAATCTCAATACTGTATTTAAATTTAATAATACAGATAAGATGATAATTTTTGTTCTAGAGTGTTCACAGGGGGTTCAACAAACTAATCAATCTGATTAAAACACAGATCCTATTTCATTTCGTTTTTTATAGTTCAAAATTTCGTTTTACTTGTCTTTACTACACTAGACGAGTTATTATATAAATAATGCATGTAAATTTAATACAGATTGGATGATAACTTTAGTCATTAGAGAGTTCACGAGGTTCAACAAAGTAAAACAAGGGCGATAAGTGTAAAAGTTATAAAGGGAAATTGTTGAAATTCAAAATAGGCTTCTTCGTTTTACTTATTTAAATAATACATGTAAATTTTATACAGATAGGATTATAAAAATATAATTTTTGTCGTTAGAGCGTTCACAAGGTTCAAAGTGAAACAAGGGTCATAACTTTAGAAGTCATCAAAGGAAACTGCTGAAATTCAATAGGTTCTTCGTTTTACTAATATAAATAATGCATGTAAATTTAATGCAGATCGGATGATAACATGTAAACAATATAAATAAATTTCACACTGTTCAGATAATATGTAGCTTGTAGAGTGTTCACAAGAAATTGTTGACAGACGGACTTGACGGCAAACATTTTCATGTGGGAATATAAAAATTTGGAGATAACTCTGAATATTGATAGGGTTTCTTTTTATCTCCTAAAGTTTGTTGTGTCCTATTCATTAGCTTTAAAATAATGTGAACTAAAAAAAAGATAAGCTCTAGTGAATCCCCTCTGCCAACCGCTACAGAGATGAATTTATATAAGCTATGGCTTGTTTTCAGATCCACAATATCAGTATTGTAAATAATCATGATATAATAGAAATAAAATATTGTTTAAACCAACCGCTACAGAGGTCATATGTGAATGGCAAGGTAACTGAAATTTAGGATCGAAAACCAATCTGTCCAAACGCCTCAGAATGGAGTTGACATAAATGTTAACATTAAAGGCGAGTGTATATAATGCGCAAAGATAAATTAAATTAAAACATACCTCACAAACAGAACAATGATACCGGGTTTCCACATGAGTTTTACAGTTATTACAAGTATAATAGAAGGCATCTTTTCCTTGATTATGCAGTTCATATAACATAGCCAAGGTTGAGTATTTGGCTCGTCGAAAAGAAGAAAATTCATAATGTTTCTCTCTGGCTAGGGTAAGGAAGGAATCTCTACCATCCATAAGTTCACAATTACACAGGGGATCTAAATCCTGAATTGGGGGCATGCCAGGAGGATTTTGTTGAGGATGTAACCTTATCACAAAGAAAACCTGTAAAAATAAAGGTAGAATATGTTAAAATATCTTCTCTTAATTCTAGAATCAACTGATCCACAAAGTCATCAAAAAAAAAAAAAAAAATATTTCAACCAAATCTGTTCATATCACTGAATACCATTACTACAAAGTTAAAAAAGCATCGCTGCATCAAAAGGAACTGGTTAAGCCAATACCTATCACCTATCAAATTTTTTTCTTTACACATTTTCATTATGTTTTTAGGGCTGTTACAATCAAACTATGGCAGTTTTTGACAAAATGTTAGGACCATTTTGGTTTAGGCCAAAAAAAAAAGGGTTCTGTTTCCTGTAACGGATGGAAAATAGGGTGGGATAGGTAGGTAGGTTTTTTTTTTCTTTTTTAATGTTACATTGTTAGATCTAGTAGATGTACTGTAGCATAATATTCTGTGCGAAAATATTCAATTTTATGTTAGGTTGAGTCGGCGTAAAGGAACAAGAAGCATGAATAGATTGGTGGATGGAATTCTTGGATAATTGTTTAAAATGTATCTGGGGTTAGATTATGATTTAAATATCCTCTTAGGGGGCAAATGGACTTTTTAATCGTTCTATGCTAAAAAAAAAAATAGCGTAGTGAGGCCATTTTGTTCAAGGGAAAGAACTAGCGATGTAAACTTAAACCAGCGGCTGCCAGGCAGGATACGCCCACATTTTTGAGAGATGGATTGAGAACAAGCTAAAAAGAAAGTGATTTTTCCTACAATCAAGGGCCATAATTCATGAAGTTACAATTCGATATGCGCAAATATCGAAAGGAACCAAGATCTTTGAGTTATAAACATGCATTTCAAGTTTCATCAAAATCGGATTAAAATTGTAACCTCTACAGGGTCCACAACCTTGATATACCATATTTTTACACCTTTCGCGTACAAGCAGCTGCCACTTTGTCCGGCAGTTTTGGTTTGATTTTCAGGAAATTTAAACTCAACCTTTATTATGGTGTTACGGTGATATATTCAAACGATTTTTAAAATCAGATAATAACTGTGACCTTCAGAGGGACCACAAGCTAAAAGAGGCGATTTTTCGTATAATCAGGGGCCATAATTCATGAAGTTACGATCCGATATCCGACAATATCGAAAGGAACCAAGATCTTTAGGTTATAAACATGCATTTCAAGTTTCATCAAAATCGAATTAAAATGTGACCCATACAGGGTCCACAACCTTGACATATATCCTATTTTTACACTATTCGTGTACAAACGGCAGCCATTTTGTCAGGCAATTTTGGTCCGATTTTCCCCAAATTCGAACTCAACTTTCCTTAGGGTGTAACAGTGATATAATAATATGTTTTTTTAAATCGGATAAAAATTATGACCTATATAAGGTCCACAAGCTAAAAACGCGATTTTTTGTATAATCTGGTGCCATAATTCAGGAAGTTACGATCCGATACATGCCAATAACGAAAGCAGCCGTGATCTTTTGGGGATAAACCTTATTTCAAGTTTTCGTCAAAATCGGACAAGAATTGTGACCTGTAGAGAGTCCACAAACAAATTGTGGACGGGCGGATGGACGTCCGGACGACAGGAGCAACGACAATATACGTCCACAAAAAAATCATATTGTGCCGTCGCATGAAATAGGTCCGTAATAAATTTATTTGTCTTCTTTAAATACCGATGGAGCAGATCCTATCCAAATGTTTGAAATATATGTTAGCTTGTTTTTGTCAAATTGCGTGCCGTTACTTATTAGAACGAAGGTTGTGAGGATTATGGCTTTTCGGGGTGTGCAGTGTTAAATCTATACGAAACCTGTAGTCTCGATTTTCACGTCAGTTAGCAATCTCGCGTCAACGGTATGACAGTTCTTAATAATCGTTTGCTGTACAGTACTCGTTTATTCCGATCGGTAAATGCAGATTCAAAGAAAGATGACATTTATATCCATTTATAGCAACAAATAATAAAGCTATTTTCACGAATACGGTAGGCTTAGAGTATTTTGGACGGTCGCTCGTTGAACAAAAAAGTTTTTTTATTTCCTTTGACACTAAAAAAAAAATTGAGTCGGCAGGTTTTGTAATGGGTTGGTAGGGTTACCGGAAATATAACATTTTTTTTTTTGGCCTTATGACCAATTTGTCTACAAAACATGTAAACGATCCTGTGCCACATCAAGTTTTGCTCAAATCTTTTGATGGGTCTCTTTTTTTTAATCAACTGAATCAAGGATAGGTTGCAGGTAAAGAAACATAAGCTCACAGCAGCTAAGTCTTCCAGGCAGCCAACATGGGTTGTCGCATATTTTTTCTTTTGTCAGAATGAAAATATTTTGAGTACACTAAAATCTGATAAATCATTAGAATTTGTTTTGATTGTCTCAAGACCTTAAACACTGTGTATAAATTTATTATTAACTTTAGCCTCTGGCACGTCCACAAGATCTTTCAACTGATCAAGGCCCTTAATGCTGGCAGTAATTATCAGAAATTGTTGAAAATCAATAGGCTTCTTCGTCTCTAAATGTGTATAAATTTCAAGTCAATCGGATATTAACTTTAGCCTCTAGAGCATCCACAAGCAATTGTGGACGCCGATCGACGACCACATTTCAATGTGGGGTGTATAAAAATGGATGATTATATACCATTGATATATAATTGTTTTTGTAATTAAATCTTAAATAATCTATTTGAGTACCGTACATTTAATAATGGATTTACCTCCCATACCCTATGTAAACAATGAGGTATGTCCAAAAAATGCAAATGACAATCATCAATGGAATAATACTCAAGAAATTAATTTCTTACAGTTCCCCAACCATCCTGCCAAATGGGGCTGTGGATTCCACTTTTTAACATTCCCACCTATCAATAACTTAGACTTACCTCTTTATGTTTTTCCATGGTCTGATACAACTTGTTGGTGAGATCATTGCTGCCCTGGGGTAAGTTTGATTTTTTGGTAACTTTTCTCTGGTTGTTTTTACTTTTGTAAGCTTTTTTATTTCTTCCTTTTTTCTCTCCCTTTTTAGTTCCAGGTTCCTGAAATGTTGTAAACCAGTTCAATCTTTTTAAGAAACAATTCCCTCCCAGTTAAATTTCGATTTAAAATTTCAGACAGTCCTACCACAAGAACAATAGGCTAGTCCTGTTTCTATTACAGGCAAGTTAAATGGATTAATTGATTTATTTTATCAATTCTGCCAAATAGCTTGTGCTATTAACTTTTGTTAAACTCAAATTAATAATCACAAATTACCACTCTCAATGAAAACTTGAATTTTTGTTTAAGATATTTACTCCATTAGTTGCCATTGTGACCACAACAGAAATATTTAAAGAGTAAATCCAAACTTACAGTTGAACCATCCATTTCTTCATTGCACTCATTAGCTTCAGCTTCAGCTGCTGCAGCTTGTGCTTCTTCTCGTTTCTTCTTCTCTTCTTCTTCTTGATTTAATTCTTTAATACTCTCCTCAACAACATTGGGCCAGAAATCACCTTCGAAGTAAGCCATTTCTGTAGCACTTTTTAAATTACTTTCTATTGCATCTTTTAATATGTCCTGCAACAGAAAAGAAAGGCATTTAGTAGATGAACTTCTTTAATAATTAAGAGAACGATCTCGTTGATGGCAGTACTATTTATTGAAAGCATCAAAAGACATCTGAAGAAAAAGCAACGGGTCATTCATTATCTTTGTTACCAAATGAATCCTGTCTGCATCTTGACTTAACAACCAAAAACACCTACCTTATAATCTGAACACACTCTGTCTATAATAGCTTTATCTAACATTTTCTTATACCAGTCTTGTAATCGCTTTGGTTTAGGAATTTTTTGTTCTGGGGGATGGCAATGGAAAATATAGTCATCACCTTCACTTGGAGGACATGCCCAAATATGGGCCACAGTATATCCCATGTTTTTCACATATTCTAAATATCCAATAAGAATTTCATGATACACAGCTGTTCGTAAATGTCTTGGTTGAAAAAAATGAACACTGTCTAAATACGATATGTACACACGCCTGAAATAATAATTTTTATAATCATTATAGGTATGGAATTCTTAAATTTCTACCGATGACATAACAAAATATCTGTCCTACAAACCAAGTAATTGTAGCTACCACACTAAAGACCACTGTAACACATACTTCTTTATAAATTTTATAAACCATGTATAAATAACATCTAATATTCCTGCAGAAAGTCTTGTTTACATTACTAGCACTCTAAGACAAAAGCCCTGATCATTAGGTAGCAACTCATTGGCAATTGCTTTACAGTATTTTATGATAAAATATAAACAAAGCCTCAAAAAGAGACAGAGAGAAATGAGGTTTAACGTCCACTCGACATAAACTAGGTCATTTCCGGACTAACATATGGTTTAATTTTATTTACATAATTTGCTTGCGCGTAGGGGTCTTTAGCAGTGGGAGGAAACCGGAGGACCCGGAGAAAACCCACGAGGTTGGACAGGCGACCCTACTCCTTGCCACGTAAAACAAAGCCTCAAAAGAAAACAAATAAACTGATACATGAAAATAGAAATAATATTAATTAAGATAGAAAAAGCATTTATATTATCACCCCACCACAAAGCCAAGTGCCGATGGGGTCAAAGTTGAAGACTTGATGGCTAGCTAAACTAACATGTGTTGTACATTCTTTGGAAATAGTCGGCATGTTAAATAATCAAACTTTTTTTTGTATCTAAAAATCCAAAGTCATGCTTTTAAATATTTATGCACCTGTATTAATTAATCTTACTTATTAGGCGAACTAAAATCAATTTAATTGGAACTAAATCAACTTTTAAGTATTCCAATTAAAATTGGAATTTGTCAAAGTACAGCAACTGGAAGAAATTAAATGCCCTGAATAAATGAATCAGCATTCATGTTAACTGAAAAGTCATAAAACAACTAATTTAAACCTGTATCAAGTTTTCCTATTCTGCAGCATTTTAATACATAAATCATCTCATCGGTTGCAGTTTGGTTTTTAATTAGTAAGTAACTGAAATCATCTGTCAATTTTCTCTATACACTAATTTGATTGAACAAGAATGAAGTGGTTACCTGGTATTTGGCATCTGGCACTCTGAACCATATTCCTGCACATGCATGCCAAAGAAACAAACATCAACCCCATCTATTTCTTCAAAAGCAAACATTGCCTTTGATCGATATGGAAAGCCATCTGGAATTTCATCCCCAAATCTATGAAAGAAAAAAGATAAATAAATAAAATAATCCAAAGGAAATCAAAGCAATTTAAAACGAGAAACATATATAGCCAATTACATCAAAAATACACAATTAAAATTAATTATTTGTACAAAAATGAGGAATAACTAAAATGGACATCAGCTGTCAGTTACCACCACTTTTTGTAAAATCTTAACAAAAAGTGGGTAATTTTCTAGTTTATGATTCAATGTATAATATAAGAACTAATCAAAATAAAATATTACTTTGATTTCATCCCTTGTTTAACTTCAACCACTTTATCAGAACTAGACAGAACTCGTATATTCACTTCACCAGCTTCCACATCTTTCTTCTTTAGATAATTATTTACACGGTTTTCTAAATAAATACCAAGTTTTGTTGTTGGTAATTCTGAAAGAAAGAATAACAAATCCTGATTACTTTGACAGAAACATATACGTATCTAAATTGATGCAATTCCTGTTACTATGAACAATAATTCAAGAAAAGAATTTAGCAACTCTTTGCAAAACTATGAATATGTAAAATGTAACATATTTAAGTAATGAATTATTACTGATGACTTACTTTTAGCAGAATATCGATTTTCTTTTTTCTTTATACCTTTGGCTTTCAAACAGTTATCACATGTGTACCTATAAATATATAACAAATTAAATATAGATATCTTATTAAAAGGGGAATTAAGTGATCAATAAAACAATTACCTCCCCTTAGTTTGCAGCCATTAGAAATGAAGGTGGGAAAATTTTGCACTGAAAGTGGACCGTAAAGTTATTCATAGTTTGAACTTTATCCAATTCGCTAATAAGATATAGTTTTTGTAAACTGCTAGTTAGTTAGAGACTGATTGTACGTATTGTACGCCTGTTGCTGATGACAAATTTTGTTAAGAAAGTATACTAGTACTTACTGTGGCCAAATAGGTTCAAACCAGAGAACACAAATCACATGATGCTTTCTGCCACACTCATTACACTCAATAAATCTGAAAAACACAGAGAAAAAATTTATTTCCTTTTCGGCTTAGGTCATTACAATCACTGTGTTGAGTGATCCTTATGACTATAAAATACTAATACATGTATCTACATGTACATGATACAGATTTTTGCAATCCTCGTTTCTTAAGAAAAGAGATTGTGTTAACATTTTGAAATTGAATTATATAAATTACTTACTGTTCATAATCTTGTTGATCATTTTTTAGTTGCATAAACTGATCCTTTTTAATTCTCCTGAAAAATATAATTATGCATCCATATCTATAAATATTTCAAAATATCAATAATACTATTTAAAGGCTTGATATTAGCTCTATATCAATCCCTTGCAAACTATAATATTGTGAATGTTTAATCTCTAATAGGAATATCAGTAAAAAAAATGGTTCAATTTGAAATTTCGACAATCTATGATTTTCACTATGTACATGTAATAAGGGTGAAAGAACTTGTATCTTCAAATTCTGTACCAGTCCTTCACGTTTACGAAATGGTGCACTGGTGCAGGGGCCATAAAAAAGCTCCCACCAATTTAAAAATTGAGAAAAAAGCTCACATAAAAAAACTCTTCTTAATTATATTGCAAGAGTAATTCTACATTTTCTTAAATTAAGGAGAGCCAAATTGTATTTATGCTTTAGTTTTGTCTCATATTCTCTTTATTATGTCATTTATATGTTCCACGAATTTCGTCATTTTGATCGCTTTGTTCTCTAAATATCAAACCCATTTTTGTCCCCCTCCATGGCTATTTGCCCTCCAGTAATTATAATTTTAAAAATGTCGCATACTTGACAGTTTTGACCATCTCCACACATATTGATAGCGATAACCAACTCAATGTCAATAAGATAAGCGGTACATGAAAACATTTTAAACAACGTAATGTTATTATAAGACGTGTCATTCTATCATTCCTGCGGATATTCTCCATCAACATATTAGGCTGTCAAGTAACATAGTATTCTATTGGCTTATTTTAGACTTCTATCCAATTAGCATTCAATATGTTTGGTGAATAATTATGGCAGCCCTAGTTTTACCACTGAAACACTCGTAGCTCGAAGGAGGAGGTCACTATACTCAAACATATGCAGTTTGAAAAATAAACAAAAACTGAAAGTACGGTAGTTTATGAATCTCAATTAATTTAGGAGAAAGATTTATTCAATTTGTGGGCATATTTAATGACTTCCCCAAAGATAAGTCGAGGTGCATCCTGAGGCGCAAGAGCGAAAGTGCACCTTAAACGTGAAGGACTGGTGTACACTATCTAATAGGTCTAGGTAAAATCAAAGCATGTCAAATCATACAAAAAATGGCCAAATGCTAGTTATGCTACTATCTCAATAAAGAAAATGAGAGTACGTCTCTTCAACATATTATTTTGGCACATTGTAATTATTATTTTTGAAGTTATATCATAAGAAATTTACCTTTCAGACGAATTTCCACCTACATTTAATACAAGGAGGGCATTAACTGAAGGTGGGAACCAAGATTTAAATAACACAATAGATTTTCTCTGCAATGACATTTGAACGCAAGACATTCAGACTGAGTCCAGTTCCCTAACCACTTGCACCAATTGCTACTAAAGGAAACAATTCCTGACTAAATATTATGTATGCTACAGTAAAATACTTACGTGGCTATCTGTGTAGGATCATCAGAGAGCTCCACTTCATCACCCTGTATTTCTTGAAAACACTTCTCACAAAACACATATCTGTCAGAGAGAAGGCCCAATTTCCGTGAACTATATTTCATCAATGAGGATTATATAAATGAAGAGCATGCCCACAGCCAAACCAACAGTACCAGCACAAAAAGCAAGATGATAGTAAACAAAAAAGCACATTAGCACAAGCACAAAAAGACAAATAACACTTATGTAATAACATTGCTGATGTATGATTTTGTTTTAAAATGTAAATTCTTTACATCTCAATGTCACAGTAGCTTAAATATACTGTATGAGTTCCCAGTCATTCCAAAAGATTATTTCAGCATTTACAATGTTATTAACAAGAGATGATACAATGAAATGAAATAAATGAATTACATAAAGGAATGACATACAGTAATGACATAAAGGAAACAGAAATAAGTCCAGTATGATTGCAATGTAATTAAATGACATGAATCTAAAATGATGCGGTCCCAGATTAAATTAGACATTGAAACAGCTAAGATATGTGAAAGTCTTATTTTAATTTAGTATTCTAGCTCTGTGATACTTTAACTCCCCCACCCCCAAAAGTCCATGAATGTTATATCCATATCCGATTAAACTCTTCCACTTACTTAAATTAAGAAAGATAAGTAACAGTTCCAACAATCAAGTATCTCAAGGAAATTTAAGGATGCCAAAATTTATTACTTGGGTTTACTCTGAGTAACCCTGTTCTATTTTTGGCAATCATTTCTAATTGACTCAATATTTTGATCTGAAACTTTACATCCAGGGCAAATAGGCAATTGTTCACATATCTGGAGCTTAATTTGCTTACTTAAACCTAGTTGCATCAGTAGATACACTGGATATCCTTGGAAATCTGGGACCGCTCCTTAAATATAATAGATAGGCATAGGTTAACTAATAAAAAGCTGGTTATATTCATACACACTAGTTTAGAACAGATTTCCCCAGAAATGTCAAAAAAAAATAAAAAAATAAATCAAGATATAAACCTGCAATATATATATTTTTTCTCAAATCCATATAGTTAGTTTCATTAATTAATTATTCAAAAGTGCAAGCAACCAACATTAGCAGTAGTATGGTGAAAAATGAAGTAACAGGTGAAGTGAAAAATGAAGTAACAGGTGAAGTGAAAAATGAAGTAATAGGTGAAGTGAAAAATGTAGAAATAAATAGAAAATCAAAAGAAGGTTTGGCTACATTTGCTCTCCCAACAAAATGAATAGCAGTCACATACAGTGAAACCTCACCAAAATACAATTTAGAAATATCCGATTATCAATGTATAAAAATGCATTCACAAATCTAAAAATATCAATCTGAGATGGTTTTACTGTATACGACAACTGCTAGCAAGATTTCTAGGGCTTAAAATTTTGATTCAACTGCATGGTACATGTCTGAACCACTTCAAGAAAATAATATTTATCAGACATATGATTAATCATAGTTTCTATCTGTACAATTTGATTTTTATTCCTTTTCCAAGAGACAAATCATAAGATTAATTGATCATACAAATTCAGTACATTTTTCATGTGAAAAAAAGAAACAAACAAATCATAAGATTAATTGATCATACAAATTCAGTACATTATTCAGTACATTCTTCATGACAAAAAAGAAACAGACAGATTACACTAAGGGATTTGTCGAATTACTTCATTTGTGCTCAAAACTAACTCAGTGTCAGTGATCAAATATAAAATATGTTTGAAATGTTATAGAAGAAAAAACATACCTATTCTGGTAACTGTAATACATTGAGTCTCTAGGTATAGTACACAACTGTTTACCATAACAACACAGAACTTGTGGACTAAACATAAACTTTCTTCCACAACAATAACCTAATGACTGCATAACACTGTCAATTTCAGATTCAAATACTTCAGCCAGCTGAAAAAAAATTAAAATGCATGTGAATTATTTTATCAGTACTGGTTAGGTCCTTAATACCTAACCATTTCGTTTCCCTGCCACAAATCAGTTCATCTTGCTGAGTATTCAACAGTTTCAGCACTAAGATTACTCATAAAATATTTATATATATTGTAAGAGATATGAATTTAGTTATATTTTCCAAATCAGACTAACAGGGAATGAAAATGACTGCCAGAATTAAAGTCAGTTAATTTAAATATCATTAAAAAAACAAAAACACCCTGTTTTAAAGAAGGGGAACAGTGTGGTTTGAAGGTTGAGAGCAAGACATTGCATAATTTCTTAATATATTGATACTGCACAAAGGAATCAAGATACAGTCATGCAACACCAATATTTTCCGCCATTTGTACGATTGGCATATTTCCTGTACCATTATTTGAAATATCAAAGTATGATGTCACACCTGCATTTTAAAACGACATAAAACATAATAAAATAGAAAACAGGAGCAGATTTTGTTAATAGAAATTAGAATACATACCTTAGAACAGAATTTATAGACTCTAGATGTCTTCCTATTATAGACCCAGGCATTTTCAAACATTAGCCAGACATCATCAACATATTCCCATGGATCATTGTACTGTCCTGTATCTAACTTTCTTTTTATTGTTGACAGATCTATAGGTTTCTTCACAATTTCATAATAATCCTACAACACAATCATTTATACTATAGAATACAAAATTAATCCACAACAGCCACCTAACAGTTTGTATTCTAAGAGTTAATTTTTTTTCAATCAATTGTACTATATTCTATTATTACTGTTTAAGAAAGTGAAATAAACTTAATAAGAATCCACATGTAGGTGAAAGGTCCAGTCAGACCTATTAGCTTATAAATACGCCCTGAAAGTAATACAACCTCATTAAGACATTCAACCTTTTTATACAAATTTAATTTTTACACTTTTAAGCACTAAAAATAACATAAATATTTTATTCAGAAAATAAGAATTACCGGTATGCTTAACGCAATAGGATCAACAGGTTGCCTAAATGGTAATGACTCAGGATCTTGTCTATACAATTTCTCGAGAGTTGGCATCAAGGCTTGTCTAAGTTCATCTGGCTTGAAAACTGAAAAAAAAAAAGAAAATTACATCTGAGTTTATATTACATAATAAGAAAACTAAGCCAAAATAGTAACCATTATAACCTCTTGACAATTATGGCTTGACAAAGTAACATCAATTATAACTTGTAATTACAGCTTTAAAAAAAAAATAATATCAATCATATCTTGCAAATTGGACATCACAAAATACTTTTTAAATAGTATAATTATAACCTGCTTTACAATTACAACTTCACAAAATAGTATCAATTTAAACATTGTCATAATTAAGGCTTGCCAAAATAGTATCAATTATTCCCTCTCAATTACAATTTTCAAATATTATTTCTAAATCTACATACTCTTTTTAGATTTTGGTGTAGATTGAACTGGGGTTGAGGGAGCACCAGATGCAGTATCTTCTGTTTTTATATCGTTTGAATTAGTATCACTTGGTTCAGCTTTAGGGGTTTCTGGAGCTGGAGCTGGAGTAGATGATGTATCCATTTCCACTGGTTCCTGTTTAACATTTGGTTCAGTTTTAATCTCCTGTTTAATATCTATGGTGCTACTATTGGCTGGAGCTGATACTTGGTTCTCTTTTGATGCCATGGGTACTTCTTTGGTTGGTGAAGCAAGAAGATTGGTCAGATGGACATTAGTCTTAGCTCCTCCGGTTTCCGACTGAAAATAATATTCAAATTACAGACGTTTATAAACATTTTGCTGCAAGTGTTAGCAGTATCGATTGGTCATTTCATCCTCAGAAAATCAAATGTATTTTCTTTACCAATTTTTGGCTGAAACTACTTGTTTAAACACAGGCATCAGGTTGCCCTCCTGTTTACTTTCTTACGACATAGTTGAAATTCAGTGAAATAATAGCTAAATTAAAATCTACAAATGAACAACAATCAACTTTATAAATTTTAGATGAAGGAACTTACCTGTACAAGATTGGTTGCTGAAGACACAGGAGCTGGTGAGCTTGTTGAAGGTAGTTGCTTACCAGATGGTTGTTTGCTATTTTGTCCAATATGTGCAGCAGTCTGTGTTGGAAGGGCAGGTTGACTTTTAGAAGAGATAAGGCCTGCCAGGGCAGACGAAGGGCCAGTTGGTTTCTGTAAAACACTTTGATGGGATACTGTTTGGTTTGAACTTGATGACTGCACAGTGGAAACTGGACTCTGATGAGGTGGAGTCAGATTCTTACCAATAGATGTAGAAATCTGTTGATTTGTCTTACCAGACATGCCAGGTTGTTGTAACTGTGGTGGTGTCGGAAGTTGGGGAAGAGGAGGGGACATCAACTGCTGGTTACCAGGCATTCTTTGAGACATCTGACCAATTTGGGGACCTTGGAGAGCTTGTTTTAACTGTTGATTTGAATCATTATGACCAGCATTCAAATTTAATCCACCAACTGACATCTGTTAAGTAAAGGTTAACTATAATTATATATTTTTTATTAGCTATCAGACATACGTCTGCCTTTCATGGTTACATACGTAAAAGTAATGATCTACAGACACACAAGGACCGAGGCGTCCTCTCACTGCACGTGCACTATACAAATCTAATTAATATTCATGAGTCTGACAACATCTACAGATATAAAAATACAATCAATATTAAGTATACATAACTATTTCAAGAGAATTATTCTCAATCAAGGTTTATTTTAAAGATAGGTTGCCAGGCAATAAAAGATGGGTTGCCAGGCAACAAAACATACGCCCACAGCAGCTAAGTTGTACGGGCAGTAAACAAGTGTTGTCACATATTTTTTCAGTAATGAGAACACGAAAATCTGATTATAAATAATAACCCATAATGTAATTATCAGAAAACATTAGAATTTGTTTCGATTGTTTGTCTCATGACCTTAAACAATTTATACTAACTTTAGCCTCTAGAGTGAATGAATGAATGAAATGGAGTTTTAGCCTCTAGAGCTTCCACAAGACTTTTCAAAGTGATCAAGGGCCTTACTCTGGGTTATCCTTGCAAATGAATAGGATTCTTAGTCTCCAAGGCCTTTATTCACGAAAACTTAAACTAAGTTACAACCAAAATTTTAAGAAATACTGCAACTTCATAGGATATATGCAAATTGACTTTACTGGTCAGGCAATCGAATTGCAGTATTTCTTAAAATTTCGATTGTATCTTAGTTTAAGTTTTCGTGAATAAGGGCCCTGTTCTTAAACACTGTGTGTAAGTTTAAAGTCAATCAGATATTAATTTTAGCCTCATGAGCTTCTACAAGATTTTTCAAAGAGGTCAAGCGCTATAACTCTAGCAGTAATTATCAAAAATAGTTGAAAATCAATAGACTTCTTCGTCTCATGACCTTAAACAGTGCATATGAATTTACAGTCAATCAGATATTAACTTTAGCCGCTAGAGCGTCCACAAGATTTTTCAAAGTGATCAAGGGCCATATAACTCTAGCAGTAATTATCAGAAATAGCTTCAAATCAATAGGCTTCTTTGTCGAGCATAACCTTAAACACCGTGTATAAATTTAAAGTCAATCGGACGGACAGACAGGGTCAACGATAATATACGACCACATTTCAATGTGAGCATATAAAAATTTAAATACAGTATATGGAACTCATTTTAGGATTGAACTGACATACTAATTTTCCTTTTTCCGCTAATGGTTCTTCCATAAACTTAATAATGACCAGCTGCAAATTGTAATGGTTGTTCCAAAAGGTAGGATATTTACTATGTTGTTGTCTTTTACAAATTTAACGTCAATATATAATATATGATATTATGGACAGGGGATATTTACTCTTTCAAGAACATTTTATATACCACTTAGCTAATCTAATCTGGTAGGTTCAATCGACTAACTCTGGATTTAGTGTTGGTACTTTGTGTCGAATTAAGTTCTTAAAAATTTTCGTCTTTGATGTCTAATATGTTTGTATTACAAGACTTATGATCATACCTATATAAATAACAAAAATAGTTATTCACTTTCAAATGTAACAATAAAATATAGTAAATTACTAACCTGATTTTGAGGAGCAGCTAACACAGGGTTGGTCATACGTTGTTGATTTGGTAACTGGTTATTAAATGTATTATTTAAAGATGACCCGGAATTGACTAGATCTGAATGACCAGAAAATGGTCCATCTGTAAAATAAAAGTTCATAACTGATTTAATGTTCCATAACCAAGTGCATTGATAACGAAAAGTGTCACAATTATACATATCTAATACTAAGTAATGGCAGTAGTGGTAGTTTTTGTTTTGCAACACTAGTTTATATCACCCCATGATGGTACATCATCACTCTCAAAAGAAAATAATTTGCAATAACTTACTCTGAGCTCCTGTGGGTCTAGGTGGTAAGCCCTGTAAGCTAACAGTACTTGGTGGTTGTACTGGTCCGGAAGGTCCTGCCTGAACAGGTCCACCACTACGTATTCTCTGCATTCTTTTTTCCTCCAATTCCTTCTGTATTTTATAGATTTTCTCAGCTAATAAATGATAATATTCCTCCTGCAGAAAAAATACATTGAGAATAAAATAGATAATATTGTAATTCACTAACTGTATTTATTATACTATTCATTTAATCAACCCACTGACTTGTTTAAAACAGACTTGAAACCAAATCCATTTATCACTTTTGTCAACATTTAACCATTATCGTTATGACTAAAGCTTTTTTCTATATTATAGTTGCTATTAAAGATAAGAATTTGATTATGAAGTTTAACTTACCCTACTATTGGCAGTTTCATACATATCTCCCTCCACTTTACGAGCGTAAGCAACAAGATTTTTCATCCTGTTATCTTTGAGAGCTGTGGGATCCGGTGTAGGAAATATAGCTTGCACTCTGAAAAACAAATTGAATGTTGTTCAACATGAAACCCTTGAATTCCATATTTCATGGCTAAAAAGGTTATAAAACCCTAAATAAAGACTCCAAAAATGTTTGCTACAGTAATGTCTGTCTTGGAATATCTTTAAATTATGCATAAATTTATACCTGTGCATTGTTCAATTCAAAAATTTAGTTTTAATAAGACTAATGATGATTGCCAAGGACTGAAGTAGCAATGGTAGAGAATGATATCAGTAGATGCTAACCGTTATTTTAATATATGGAAGTAACTGAAAAAAACTTACAATTTATGAACTAGGTGATTTCTCAGATCTTGTGTAACTGATTGGTGCCAATCTTTTGTCATCTGAGATGTCTTGGCCATGTTTTGCAGAGCTTCTGATGATGCTGCTGTCATAGTAGGCAAAGAAGTTATACTTCCTGGACCCAAGATCTGTTGTAACGCAGTATTTTGATTGGATTGATTTAATGTTGTTGTAGCTAAAATAAACAAAATAAACCATCATTATAGAAATACCTGTAATTCATAAATAATTTACCTAGAGAATTGATTTTCACCTAAATATGCTGGAAATTTACAAGAAAACCTTTTCAAATAAGTTTAGATTAACCAATAAAATTTCCAATTTTGGCGAGTAGAAATGACTCACCACTAGGTATGGTTCCAGGAACAATTTGTTGTGGACGATTACTTAACCCCAAGGCATCTATAGCCCTCTTCATAGTGACTTCACTCACAGGCCCACTTGTATTATTGTGAGCTATAGGTGCAGGCATTGTAGAATTGGGAGGCATATTGCCAACAGCTGGAATAAAAATAATTTCAATTCATATTAACACATAAAAAAAACCCAGACAATCTACCCTCAAATTAATCCATTAATCCTTTTTAAATTGTGAATTTCTTGCCATTGATTTCTTCATCTATGTCCTCAATTTCAGACTTTTGGTTATTGCACATGCATTCCAATAATGGCAATACGAAAAATCTTTACTAACCTGCTGGATTTCTTCTATCAGAAGCATGTTTTAAAGGTAAACACACGGGACAATCATTTCTCGTACAATTTTTCCAGTGAGTAATAATTTGACGAGATGAAGCACAGTGTGCAACTGAAAAATAAATTGTTAACATTACTATTCAAGTTCTACAAGATTAATTCAGCATTAATTTTTTTTTTTATGAAACGTTGAAACTTTTAATTACCTTCACTTTATATCATTTTTTATTTTGTAAGTCAAATAATATCATTGCAATAGTCTGAACAACTAGGAGGCATATTTCCATATAGTTTTCCCTTTAGAATTGATGATTTTGGACATGAAATACCTACCCTGACATAATTTACCAGCTGTACATGTGGTCATATGATTTAACACATTCTTCATCGTACGACAATAAGGTAAGGTACAAGCTTGCTCCCCATTCGTATTTTCTCGTCGCTGACATTTATGAGCATGGAGCAGGAGCACTAACTGCTGTTGAATAAGTTTACTTTTATCTTGTTCTGTTGAGCGTCCTTGTCCAGGAGCCTGAGGGGCCTGTCCCGTCTGAAATCAGATGATCAAAATGATAACAAATTGAAAAAAAAATCATCCAAATAAAATTCTACGATCTTTTAAATTATTAGGGGATTAAACTAAGTGTAACTAAAAAGTTTTGGTTACAAAGATTTAGTTTGTAAAGTGATTAAGACAAGACTACAAATAAAATGCTACCAGTTTTACTGTTTTCAGTTAATTTGATACTGCAGCGTAAGCAGTTAAATGGACAAGTGCGCATGTATTGACTTAGCATGTTGTATCCTTATCACAAATCAATACTACTAGTACTAGATCTATAATCGGACTACATAAAAGCACTCCATTCATAAAATGTGTAATATTAATATCGTTCAGTGTTAACTATTACAGACAAACAGGTACAGTAACTTGTACTAGACACTACATGAATAAACCTCAAATCTTGTAATTATTGTTCACAATTATTATTTAAATTTCCAACAAGCCAAATGCCCCTAATTCACTCAAAGTGAAGATTTACACCTACTACAGTAAATATAAAGGTTTTTTTTACACTAGGTTTCAACTAAAACACAGATGCTAGAGAGTCAGTTCATAGTAAGTGTAGTCTAGGACTGCAACGATACATATATGTACCATAAGACAGTATACAGCGGTATACATGCCATGCAGGGATGTGCCCAGAAAAATATTCATGTCGGGCGGAAAATTATCGGGGGTTTTTTTCGATTGAAAATGCGCAATTTCATGAGTCCAGGGGTCAAAATTCACGACGTCTCCGCACCGTAGTATTTAGCGAAATTACCGTAGAAAATAAATAAGAACTACGGGCGACATCTTTAGTCGAGGTAATTTATTTAAGAATATGATGACAGCAATTTGCCAATGTTGACACTGAAACCACCGTTGTATACCTGCGTAATCCACGGCATAATCGAAAATAGGAATTTATTAATTATTGTTTTGTTTCTTTCCTGAGTTCTCGTGACTGTATTTTTCTATCGAAAACACAAGTCGGCATTCATACAGTCGTACCATGGAACGTATACGGTCCATTGTCATACGACTACTCAAATGGTTGTAAGTCGGGTAGCACTAGCAGCCAATTTTATAACAATTATGAATTTCACACTGACCATCTACGCATGTTTTCACCTGTTTGTCACTAGGCCTAGTTTATAGCATTATGTAATATGAAGTATTTATATCTCAATAAATAAAACACGTATTCCCCCAAGTCATCTGACCTAATTCTACCGTAACGTCACATGCTGGGAATGGAATGGAGATGCACACACACGGCTCGTTGACTGGTTTATTTAATCATTTAAAAAGTTCAAAACAATTTCCAGAAATAACGGGTATGAATAATTTATTGGAAAATATGATCAAATCAAATAATTAGGTCTGGAAAATATATCATATAAATTAATATAATATAATTTTTAGCGTAAATAAAGACGTGACGTTAGAAAGGAATTCTGGGGGCGTTACATGTCCGCCGCACGAAGTTCATGTAATATAATGTCATGCACATGTGTGAAATCGTTTTTTGATAATCAAATTAGGCTACAGTATTACGGATATTTTATAATCGGAATTCAACACCTCAACGGCGAAGTATTCATTTAAAACGCAAGTTTGGTACCATGATACTTATATTTGGTGAAATTTACGTGGATATGGATTATACATGTAGAATTGCACGAATCTATAAAAATAGTTTAAATAGCGAAAATAGTCATGTGCTAGTGCTATTTTTAAAAAATAACGGTGCAGTAGGCTTGTTTAACCAGTCATGCTAGTTACATCGCGCTGATGTGACCAGTTAAAAGAGTCTAAATATCAGATAACTCTGCGCATCGAATAAGAAATTGAAAGTAATATATTTCGTCGAAAACGAACGTTATATTTAGATGTCTATGATACGAGCTCAGTTTGACATGAGTCAAAATAATTTATTCAATTTATGAGGTTAAAAGCAACAAATAAAAACGCTTTTACCAATTTAGATTATCTTTATTTACAAGAAAATTGCACCGCCCGGTAATTGTAATAGTAGGCACATCCCTGGCCATGGTTCGGTTCACAGTACTTTAAGTTCCGCACTGCGGTTCGGTAAACACTGTACAGATTTTTTAACCGTCCGTTTTTTTCCGATAATCAACTGTCATGCAGAGTTAAGTCCCCCTGTAGTTCACGTGACAAGGAGGAAAGATGGCTTCCAGTAATGAAACATTCACCTCCAGCAAACCACAAATCACGGATATGGGAATGTTTTTGGACTAAAAATGCCAGATGGAAAAGTCATGGCTAATAGTAATAAAATAATGTGTCACCATTAAATAAAATGTAGGGTTTTTTTAAATTTTTTAAGTAAACTTAGAAAGAAAAATTACTGTGATACAGTGATAATAGTGATACCTATTGTAACGAGAGATTAGATTATCGTTGCAGCCCTGTAGAGTACTGTACAGCGTACCAATGAAAGTTACAGCAAAAGACAATACCTTGCTATTGAAATGCTCTGCCCAGCCTTTATTTAGTTATATTGAAACATGGTAACAATTTCATCTAAGCAAATCAAAACTAATGCTATGGAGTACAAATTGCTACTGATAAAGTAACAAGCGGTTGCCATGCAAGATACGCCCACATTTTGCAAGAGATTGACTGAGAACACGTCCAAAAAAAAAAGATTTTTCATAAAATCAGGGGTCATATTTAATCCAGGAAGTTACGGTCCAATATATGTGAATATCTACAGGAACCGAAATCTTCTGGATATAAACATATATTTTAGGTTCTGATCAAAATTGGATAAAACTTCTGATCTCTAGTAGGAGGGTCCACAACCTTGGTATTACATACTTTTACAGTATTTGCTTACAGTTACAAGGAGTGGCTATTTTGTCAGGAATGCGTCCCCATTTTTACAAAATACGAACTCAGCCACCATTATGGTGTGACGGTGATATATTTAAACGTTTTCTAAAATCGGATAGGAATTCAGACCTCTAGATCCACAAGCTAAAATGGTGATTTTTCGTACAATCAAGGGCCATAATCCAGGAAGTTACAGTCCAATATGCGCGAATATATAAAGGAACCAAGATCTTTAGGATATAAAATATACTTTAAGTTTCATCAAAATCGGATCAGAATTGTGACCTCTAGACCTTCATATTACATACTTTAACATTATTTGCGTACAAGGAGGGACCATTTTGTACAGATGTTTCGTTTCGATTTTCACGAAATTTGAACTCAATCATCATTTAATGATGAGATAAAAATTGTTATCTCTACAGCTAAAAAGCATGATTTTTCGTACAATCAGGAACCATAATCCACGAAGTTGCAGTCCGATATGCACGAATATCTAAAGGAATCGAGATCTTTTGGTAATAAACATACATTTCAAGTTTCATCTAAATCAGATAAAAATTGTGACCTGTAGAGTGTCCACAAGCTAAAAATGTGATTTTTAGTACAATCAGGGGCCATAATCCGGGAAGTTACAGTCTGATCTGTGCGAATATCAAAAGTTTCATCAAAATCGGATCAAAATTTAACCTCTAGGAGTCAACGAACTTGATATTAGATACTTTAACATTATTCCCGAACAAGGAGTCAACGAACTTGATATTAGATACTTTAACATTATTTCCGAACAAGGAGCTGCCATTTTGTACAGCAGTTTCGGTCCGATTTCCACGAAATTTGAACTCAATCATCATTTACTGATTGAATACAAAATTTGACCTCTAAAGGGATCACAGGTAAAAACATGAATTTTTCCTACTTTCAAGTTTCATCTTAATTGGATAAAAATTGTGACCTGTAGAGTGTCCACAAGCTAAAAACATGATTTTTCGAACAATCAAGAGCCATGATCCAGGAAGATGCGATCTGATACACGCCAATCTTGAAAGCAACCAAGATCCTTTGGAGATAAACCTATATTTCAAGTTTTGTCAAAATCGGATAAGAATTGTGACCTGTAGAGTGTCCACAAATAAATTGTGGACGGACGGACAGGAGTGACTACAATATACGTCCACATGAAAATGTGGGCGTATAAAAAGATGTTATATTCAGAAGATAATATGCACCATACGCATTAGGCCATTATAATTGTGGAGAGCTCTCAGTTGTCAGTAAAACATCCAAGTATAAAATAAGTTGTGAGAAATACTTACACCGCTGTTAGCACTGACTGGTAAGTTAAGAGGAGGTGAAGGTAGAGAGACTGAAGTCAGTGTATTTGGGAGTGATGTGCTGAAGGTAGCAGTGGACGAAGGAAGGCCAGTATGGGCCTGAGGATTATAGTTGGTAAAACCCACACCAGCACCACCACCAAGTCCAGGTGGAAGAGGTCCCTACAATAGCCAAAGCCATAAATCTACATGTATACTAACATTTCACTACAAACTAACTAGTACAACTACTGGTAGTGCAAATCTACATTAAATTAAAGGTGCTCATGGCTAGCATTATACTGTTAAAATAATAAGCTTATGAACTATAATTATAATGAAGCTAATAATGTACACTTTGCAAGCCAGTAATCAACACAAATAGATTATCTAATTTCTAGACAAAATGTTAGTTTTAATGCTAGTCACATGTGATGAATAAGAAGAATTGAACCAATATTGTCCAATATACACATTAAAATATGTAGGTTAGATGCAATTTTGTTTTTCTGAATTCAGTTAATATTCAGAAATAAAATAATATCGGTAAATTATGAACATGTATCGTACACTGACAAAATTGTAAAATTAGGAGAAAATGTACACTATGGTAACAAAAAACAATATCGGATATAAAACTAAAGTTGTGTGCCAAGAAGAGACAGTTGAAAGCAAAGTCTTTATGGCATTGATTTGGTCAGCATTATCAATTCATTTCAATTGTTAAATTGCAAAATTGATTGTTAAGTTAAAAGAGACATTATTACTCTCATCAAGAAAATAAATGCAATTAAAGAGGCATTAGGTAAGATTAGATAAAAAGCCGAAAGTTCTCGCTATAATACTATATTAATAGTTAAAATATCGATAATGAAAACAAAATATGCTGAAAATTTCAGTCAAATTGCTTCACTCTGAACCAAGATATTTGCAATTCAATTTTAGGCTAGCCTCACTATCGTCATTAACATTGGTACAATAATAAACAAAGTCTTGATTATCAATTTTTACGTTTAATTATCCATCACAAAATGTATTCAAATCTACAAAATATCGCATCGAGAGTTGATTATTGTCTGGATACATGTAAGTTAATTAATGTCTAATTAATAATTTTGATAACGTTTCAGGCCTAAAGAAAGACCTGCAATAGGCAGATTTAGCTCTTGCATAATGCATGTTTAGCTTAAAAATCATTAAGATAGTTAACTAATGAGTACTGTTATTGGCAGATTTGCTTCAAATTTTGAATACCGGTACTGTCTTGGCTTGGGTGTAAATGTGATAGCGAAATCAAAGATAGGTTGCCAAATGATCAAGGGCCAAAACTCTGGCAGTAATTATCGGAAATCGTTGAAAATCAACAAGCTTCTTCAACTCATGACCTTAAATACTGTGTATAAATTTAAAGTCAATCGGATATTAACTTTAGCCTCTAGTGCGTCCCACAAGGTTTTTCAAAGTGATCCAGAGCCCATAATTCTGGCAGTAATCATCAGAAATCGGTGAAAATCAATAGGATTCTTCATCTGAAGACCTTAAACACTGTGTATAAATTTAAAGTCAATCGGGTATTAACTTTAGCAATTATGGGCGCCGGATCGACGGGGGCAACGACAAAATACGAACACATTTCAATGTGGGCATATAAAAAGGAAGGGTGTCACTAACTGGCAGCTGGTCTGCTCAAGTGACGTAAGGAGCACCTCTTAGCTTGTGGGAACATTGAGAGACTTAAAACATCCAGAAAACTACGATTAAATGAAAGAAAAAGTGACAGCTCTAATCCAAGAATTTGATCGTAAATGGATATTTCCAAGTAAACTTTTCCTAGATAAATTAGTTTGAATAATTATGCTTTTAGTCCAAATATATCATCAAATCACAGTTTATGTAAGCTATGTAATTTTTTTTTTTTTTTTGGCAAAGAACTCTCCAGAAGAAAAGTCTTCTTTAGTAAAGTTTGAGCCAAAATTCCAAACCACAAAATATTAATAAGCTATGAACTAAACGATTGTGACAGTGATTTTCAATTCACTATGCCAAAAGCAATGGATGTACCATCACCATCAATTGTGTTAAATATATGTTTTACAAATAGCAATACCATGCAGACAATTCACTATTTTCGCTCTTTTTTGACTTGGGAAATATATTATGGCATACAATTTTTGTCATGTGCCTTTAGATCATTATGTTCAAAATCATTAAATAACCCATTAGCCAAGCTTATGTAGGGGTGATGATTTTCCGAAAATACGCGGAATTAGAAATCTCATACGGGAAAGACAGAAACGCCAATATTTGCTTATATTTAACAAAAACTCAAAACAATTTTGTATTTATCCAAGTATTTCATCTTTTGATTTATAAAAATCGAAAATATTGAAGTTATCGCTTGGTTTTATTGCTAATTTAGTATAGGCTACTTTCATTTCATCATTTTGGAATCATAAATGTACTTGAAATGAAAACCTGTCTTCCATTTATCCCTAATATTACAATTAGCCTACTCTGTAGTTGAATTTAATACTATAAATTATGTACGGGTATCTATATTTTAAAAGCCTTAGTTATCTTATAAAAGCAAAAATCGTTTCATTTACTTTATTTTTACACTTTCACCATCATGTGACATCACAAATATGCCGTAGTCTTGTGAATCCAGCCTTTATTCCCGTAAAAACAGTAGTAACTACAAAGTTTTTCTGGATAATTTGCGACAACAACCAGCAGTCGAGAAAAATGGCTTTGTCTGCTAAAAAGATGAAACGAGCTCACAAAGTGTAATTTTCTGTTATTTAATTCAGGAAATCGGTTTGAAGAATAACTAGTCATTGAATATTAAATGTCATTCACAATTTAATATTTGTTATCACGTATCATTGGTTTAAAATAATCAGTTTTGTAATAAAAGGCATTTTACGATGTTTATTTATTTATTCATAAATAAAATAGCATTTAATCTGGAAAAAAAACGGAATATGGTCAGCTCTGAAACGGAAAATATAACGGAATTCATAATACTTAAAATGGATATTGCCATTTTCTGGAACGAAAAATCATCACCCTTATGTTATGTGTAATCACCCAAATTAAGGTACTTGTCTACTTAGGGCTTAATATTTTGCAAATATGTCAGCCTATCTAAATAGGCATACTTTTATCCAAGAGGATGAACAAAATTTATCATTGCAAATAGATGAAAATGTCTACATTTTAAGGTAATTTCAGCATTTGAAATAAGCAAATATTTGAAGATGCATCAAAACTCTTACCTTCATTTGTTGTTGAACTTGCACTTGATTGGCATTCATTGGATGACCCACATTCTGATGACCACCCAATTGAGACATGGACATTCCGTTACCTTGCGGTATTGACATGTGATTTGCATTGTTCATAGCTGACACAGGTATATTTCTATTCTGACCAACACTACTTGCACCATACTGAGGTCCATTTAATAACTGATTCGATAGCTGGTTCATGTTGACATTATTCATGCCAGACATCAGCTGTTGTTGGTTAGGTTTCATATTCATGGAACCAATTCCGTTACCTGCACCCATAGGTCCCATTGAACTCTGTGCCACACTATAAACATTGACATTATTACCTAACATCATTGAATCAGAAACAATATGTTGTTGAGCGCCTTTGTTTAATCCACCATGAGACGGGGATCCCATATTTGAGTGAGGACTCTTCACAGCATTCATGTAGGCATTAGAATTGTTCATTGCTCCAGCAACTGGACCTACACTAGGACTTCGATTCTGACCCATGTTATGAGGTTGACTAGGAATACTGTTGATAGATGATCCAATTTTGTGAGTTTGGTTGGAACTTGATAATAACTGTGACAATTCCTGGTGATTTTGGGGATTATTATCCATTGAACCATGCATGCTTGTGCCAGCCCCAAGAAGATCATTAGATGTACTCTGGCCTCCATTGTTCATCAACTCATCTGGCAAGTCCCCTGCTATAGCTAACAAACTATTTACTAGGCTGAAATCTGGAAAACAAAAATAATTTAGAGTAACAATACCAGACAATGTAATTGATACCTAAAAGCTAATCTCTCCATTCAGTAAGAACAATTTAAGAATGTTTGCATTTTTTTTTCTAATAGACAAACTTAACATTAACCCCGGTTTACTGCATCTTCAATGCAGATCAATGCCCACTGTTGACAATATTCTGGTATCTTCAAACATAAAATCTTAAAAAAACATGCAAGTTTTCATAATCAAGGACATTGAATTAGAAACTTTTTTGAAACAAAAAAAGTCATGTTTTGCACAGCTTGTAGGCCTTCTCTCTATGTTTATTTAAAGAGATTTGATAAAGATTTAAAGATGGGTTCCCAAAAAATTATTTATCGGGTGGTTATAAAAGTATGGTAATTTTGATATATGGAAAGTAGAGATATCCAATCTTACTAGAAAAATACTGGATTCCCCGAAAAAACACTCATGGAGCGTATACAGGACAAAAATGTAAGGGTTCCCCTAATCAACAGCCCAACGAATAGGAATTTATGCACGCGTGATGTCAAAGGTCACACGCGAACATTGAGCACTTGATGTACAAGTTGATAAACTGTATGACGAGTTAGATGTACAACACTTTCTGAGATGAAAATGACGAAAAAAGACGCGGGTAGTGGATAATCCGAGAATTAAATTAGGATACGATATTTGTAATAAATAGTAAGCAATTATTAAAGACAACATCGTTTTATGTATGCAATGAATTCTCCTCTGACTTCTAAGAGAGGTAAGTCACATGACGTAAACATGACCTGGTTTGATCAAATTTTTATAGCAGGACATTCCTTTGCAATTACAATGTTTGAGAAGGATTTGAAGCAAAATTATGACAAATTAATTAGTTTGAATATGTTTTTTGTCCATATATACCATTAAATCACCCAGTTTGTATGCGGGAAACCATCTTTAACACAAAAATCAAACGAGATCAATCAGATACGCAAACATTTCTAATTGACCACAGCAATAAGGTTCAATTAAAATAATGGTATTTCACTGGCACTTACTTTTGGATTGAGTTGGATACATCTGTAGCTTAGAAATAGATTGTTTTTTTAGCAACTGTTGTAGAAAAATAATTTGCACCGGAATTCTGGATTTTTTTTTTATTTTGGAGACAAAATGATCTAGCCTATCATTGCAGTATCATGTTAAAGACTTAGAGTAAGCTTAAATATTGTTATTGAGGGATTTGCATAACTTATTAGCCTAGAAGCTTACATAGTTTCTCAATAGTAGAAAAGGGTTGCAAACTTTAATTAGGGTTGTTTTTCATCGAGTTAAAACAAAATGGATAAAAAAAAAATAGAGTGTCAAAAGACAGTCAACATTTTCTAGATCTAACAAAAAATCTGGCATTTTAAGTCTTGGAAATTTTGATGACTGAAATTTGCTAGAGTAGAAATCCAGACCAGACAACATGCCTTTTAATTCCATCTAATTTATGCTCAATAATATGCATTTACGGATATTAGCAATGAATCTCTTCTCATAATTGCAATGATTTACACCTGAGTGCATGGCTCTGTGCTAAGAAGTCAATATCAACATGACAGTTTTTCATTCGCCATGCATGGCATTGACTTGTAGATTACACTACATTGCAGCCAAAGTGTCAAAGCATCCACAATGTTTTGATCAATACAGCAGACTACATTGCTTTCTGCGCCTTGAAATACAGCTTTTAATTTACTCATTTAATTGATAAAAATATATAATTACCTCCACTGTCGCTGGGTGTTCGCATCGGCGAATTAGAAGCCGTTTTCTGTCTTTTAGCCGCTGGTGGCCCATCCACAAGCTGGTCAGCCATGTTTGATCCGACGCCTTGGATGATTTATCCGGCTGATCGTTCCAAAAAATCAAAATCAATAAATTTTAAATTTGAGTATGCAACAATGAAAAAGACAAAGCTTGAGTTGCTACCCATTCCATGACCCTGATTAGAAACATCTTTAAAATAGCTTCAACAAAAATTACGTTCGCTACTCCATGTTAGCGAGCACAAAGCGGCTCACAATTGAAATTTTTGTCTCACCATTGTCCATTTCATCTCAACATTCCAAGCCAGTTCGATGTAATCTTATACTCCGATATACAAATGAAACATATACCTGGATAACTATCCCAAAGAATTGAATAAAACCAATCAAAAGGCTTTTAATTCCGACGAGTGAATTTCGCTGAAATTATAAGATGGCGGCTGTTGATGAAACTTTTACGCTTGTCACAGAAATTAACGGAATCTCCCGAGTAGGGTAAATTGCGTCGAAAATTGATTATTCAGGAAATTAACACGTCACGTGGTAATAAAGTTGGGTGTAGATTGGTCGCTTCGATGCATGGTCATGTGACAACGGGCCCGGAACATTCCGACAGTTGCATTCTGGGAAGGAAATAAAATTTGTCGGAAATACCCGATTTAACAATTTATTTCTATTTGCGGGCTTGATATCAGACGTTGGAGCATCGAAGTTACCTGGCGAGCGACGGCCGTGAAATATAGTTACTTTTTAGTCAATTCAAGCCAAAAATACAACTTCAGAACCCGAAGAATAGAGCAGATACATTTTTCAAAATGCATAAATTATGTAAAGACATTAGATTCTTGTTTAATATGATTTTTTTAAAGCTTTTACAAAACTTTTCTTGCATTTTTTTTCAGATGTCAAACTTTTTTGGGAGATCAAAACAGGAAGAATTGCATTTCAAAACGTCCCATTGGCATGATCTTCAAGTCCATTGTTGCGCATAGTTGACATTGAAAATAGAACTATCATGCATGAATTTAACTTGGATAGATTTATGAAAACTGTTACAAATTTATTAACAAGATTTTGATTAAAAACACTGTTTATTAATATTATGTCATTTATGATGAATAGAATCTCATTCTCACATTCTCAGAATTCTAGAGTACCGGTTGACATATAAATTAATTGATAGATGAATTACCGAATTTTAGTCAAAAGGGATATTAGCATGAATAGCAAGAAAGAAATGTGCAAGACTGCAAGTTAGAAGATTATTTATTTCACTTTGTGTTTTATTAGTAGGGGTGGGGCAAACGATGATCTACCGGTACTGAAAGGTAACAATCAGAGATTTTTGGGGGTGAGGGGATGACAGCTGTTTTTCTGTCAGGACAGATATGATGACCGACACAATTTTATTTTTCCTAGAAAACACTGCATGATTGATGTGTATTGTGCTGTGTTTTTCATGAGAGGCAAACTCAAGGACTGTCCACAGGGGTGGCACTAACTCTAGCCATGCCACTGGCTGCAGTCCTCTACAAAGGGTCCAGCTGTAGGCTACAATTTCTCAGGCAAATATAACATTTTCAGGAAAAAATTATGCAACTGCAACCCTTCAATATTGGCTCATTTTTTTTTTACCTATTGCCCTTTACAAGTAGGCTACTTACATATTTTGCTTTGAAAAGAATGCATGGTGTTTGACGTCTTTATTAGCAGCTGGGATGGAACAAAACAGTAGGTTATAGGGCCCAAGTTCATTTCTGATACAAGATAAAAAAGGAACAACCTCAAATACTGAGACTCAAAATATTATAGGTATTTACATCACTATTACCTAATACATAATGTTAACAGATAAATGTTAAATTCTGCATACTGTCATATACACTTATACTGAAGTAAAAAACACTAAAAGTGTATTATTAGACAGTATAAGCAGAAATTAACCTTAGGTCTAACATTATATTCAAACTAATGGTGCTATTTTAAACTTTATTCTAATCATTAATTCTTACAAATTCTACAAAGTATTCAAGAGTACTTAAAAAAATGTTAAGGATTTCTATAAAAAATGGCATCACTCATGATAAGAATTTGAGGAAACTTTTTAATATATTCATTTAACCTTTAACTTGTGATAACAAAACATTAATATAGAAATCATTTCAACACATCTATATAGGCTACTTTATATTACACAAAAATGAAATGAAATGATCTGCGAGCGCCTTCTTTTCTGAAAATGCCTGTTCATTTCAGAAGATTTTAAAACTTGTAAATACACATTAATTTGATAAAATGCAAAATATTACCCAAGTGGGTAAGATGCTGGCTCGTAGTGCGGAGGTCGGGTGTTCGATCCCTGCATTCGCCAAGAAAGTTCATCCAGATTTTCTGGCGTGGTTCCCCCTTGTCAGTGATGCAGGGCGGAGGGCCTGACAAGGACAGCTGTCTAGTTGTTCGGATGGTTCGAAAAACAGTGGTCCCGTGTACACATTGGCGTGCACGTAAAGATGCCTTGACAGTTGGAATTCGATATAAGAATTTCCCTCATAGTATGGTGTATGCCCGTCTTGATTAGCCCAATTCGGAGCAGAATCTATATTTATTGCAGGTGATTGTTAGAGAATCTATGTGTATTAGAGGTGATACAAAGTATATTAGAGAATCTATGTGTATTAGAGGTGATACAAAGTATATTAGAAAATCTATGTCTATTAGAGGTGATATAAAGTATATTAGAGAATCTATGTGTATTAGAGGTGATATAAAGTATAGTACAGGTAATATAATGTATATTAGAGGATAAGTGTCTATTAGAGGTGATATAAAGTATATTATTAGAGGTGATATGTTGTATATTAGAGAATAAATGTCTATTAGCAATGGTATAAAGTATATTAGAGGATAAGCTTTGTGTTTTGGATGTATTTCTGGAAGTCTTGATAACTGGAAATCCTTTTTATACGCCTACATTTTCATGTGGATGTATATTGTTGTTGCCCCTGTCCATCCGTCCACAATTGTTTGTGAACACTGTAGAAGTCACAATTTTTATCCAATTTCAACGAAACTTGAAATATAGGTTTATCACCCTAAGATCCCAGTTCCTTTCAATATTGGTATGTATCGGACTGTAACTTCATGGATTATAACCCCTGATTGTACGAAAAATCACGTTTTTAGCTTGTGAACACTAGAGGTCACAATTTTTATCCATTTGGTTTAAACTTGAAATATATGTTTATAACCCAAAGATCTAAGTTCCTTTCGATATTTGCGCATATCGGACCATAACTTCCTGAATTATGGCCCCTGATTGTACGTAAAATCGCGTTTTTAGCTTGTGGACCCAATAGAGGTCACAATTTTTATCCGATTTTGTTGAAACTTGAAATGTAAGTTTATAACCCAAAGATCTCAGTTCCTTTTGATATTCGTGCATATCGGACCGTAATTTCCTGAATTATGGACCCTGATTGTACGAAAAATCCTGTTTTTATCTTGTGGACCCTATAGGGGTCATAATTTTTATCCGATTTAAAAAAAACGTTTGAATATATCACCGTTATACCCTAAGGACGGCTGAGTTCGAATTTCGTAAAAATCGAACCAAAACTGACAGACAAAATAGCCGCTCCTCATAGTCAAATAGCATAAAAATATGGTATATCAATGTTGTGGACCCTGTAGAGGTCACAATTTTAATCCAATTTTGATGAAACTTGAAATGCATGTTTATAACCCAAAGATCTTGGTTCCTTCCGATATTCGTGCATATTAAATCTCAACTTCCTGAATTATGGCCCTTGATTGTACGAAAAGTTGCGTTTTTAGGATGTGATCCCTCTAGATGTCACAATTTTTAACCGATTTAAAAAGACGTTTGAATATATCACTTTTACACCCTTATGATGGTTAGGTCCGAATTTCGTACAAATCGGACCAAAACTGCCAGACAAAATGGCTGCCCCTTGTACGCAAATATTGTAAATATATGGTATATCAAGGTTTTTAACTCTCTAGAGAGAGGACACAATTTTTATCCGATTTTGATCAAACTTGAAATACATGTTTATAACCCAAAGATCTTGGTTCCATTCAATATTCATGCATATAGGATCGTAACTTCCTGAATTATGGCCCTTGATTGTACGTAAAAATCACTTCTTTTTTTGAGTTTGTTCTCTGTCCATCTCTTGCAAAATGTGGGCGTATCTTGCATGGCAACCGCTTGTTTTTTTTCACAAAGCATATATTCTGTATATGTTTTGCATTATGGTGTTTTTCATTTTTTTTTTTATTACATCCCAATATGACAGAATACATGTTTAATAGGGAATTTGAAACTATAGTCCAGTGGTTCTCAAACTTTTTAAGTCGGGACGCAGTTGAAATCCCACAAATTATTGTAAGTGCACTGTATACAAATTTCTGATAAATATGTTATATTTAAAGATACATTATGGGAGAATTTTATAAGAGAGAGTTGGCCATTCTTGCTATAACAGTTCAAAAGTAGATGATGAAAGAAGAATATATTGAAAAATTCAGTCAAATTACTTTATTCTGAACATAGTTATCATCGTTGTAATATTTGCCTAGAAATGGTAGCGAAATATGTCTTCACCTTCGCCGATCGTTTGATTGACAGGTGTTAACTCCACCTACATATCTCGATTATCAAGTAAAGTTTTCAATGGCATACGGAAACGCTTTACAGCGGCCTCGCTAAGTACACTCTATCATTTAGCCTCGATCTAACTGACGTATTTTCATCAGGTTACCCCTTATTTGATTTAATCAATTAGTGAAATTCTATTTAAATCCGAGCTGTAGCCGAGCCATCCGTGGGTCTACAGAGTTGATTTTGGTCTTGTTGTTTAAATAAAGATCTAATTTATAATTTCTATAACATCTGAAGCCTAAATTAAGACTTGCAATAATCAGATTTAGCTCTTGCATAATGCATGTTTAAGTAAAATATTATACAAAAGAAATGTGATTAAAAAAATATAAACCTTAAGTTACATTATGCAACAGGTACATAACCTGTTACAGTATATCCGTAATCATTGGCGTAATAACGGTAAAAGCCTATGGTATTGTAATTATACATTTATTTTTTTTATATCTGATTTCTCTGGACTGTCACAGGGCACACTTAGACATCTTTGAGAACCATTGCTTTCCTCTTACCAGTGGTGCAGGTTGCAGGAAAGAGGGCCTCGTAAGGAACATCAGCGGACGGTGTAGCCAACATGTAAAAGAACAGTTGAAATACAATGAAAAGTAGGTAGAAAATCCTTGGTGCAGATAAGTAGTATGTTAAACTGTTAAACCCAGTTTCATTTCCTGTTTTGGGGTTTATTCCCTTTTGTAAAGCTTGGTACTGTACAGTGCAGTTGATGCTTACAGCCAGACCTCAGTCTACTCATTTATTACTTTTTATACGCCCACATTGGTCGTGTGTTGCCGTCACCCCATGTTGCCGTCACCCAAGTCTGCCGGGTCAGAATTAATATCCAATTGACTTTAAATTTATACACAGTGTTTAAGGTTATGAGACGAAGAAGCCTATTGATTTTCAACAATTTCTGATAAT